CCCCCCCCCCCCCCCCCCCCCAGGGTCCCTGAGCTCATCCTCATCTCAGGAAGGCACAGCAAGCAGGATAGGGGGGGCCTCCAGGGTGAAAATCTGTGCTGCTCCATCTCTTGAAAGGATTCCTACTGGTGGAAATTTCTAAGAAATTGGTAGAAATGGACATCTGTACACAATGCAACTTGAGTTGTACCACTGTCCACTATGCCCCTTCTTTGGTCAGGCTTAGTACCTTTATTCCAAACCCACTGTTTTTGCCTCTCCACCCCAGAGCATCAAAACTCTCATACCCCCAGCACTTAGCAGGGAAAGGGCTCAGGCCTCCCAAAGGAAACAGTCCCTAACTCCATTTACAGTACACACATAGGGAGGGGTATGTGGAGCTGACAACCCTCCCTCCATTTCCCATTATTCATTGCCTAGCACCTCACCCATTCCCACTTACTCCTCTGCCATCACAGCCCCAAACCTGTCCCCACATTACGCACCTCCTTATCCTACTCCCCTCCTTGTGGTCTCCCCACCCCTATGTTTCCAGCACTAAGCAGCAAGCATCTGAGTTTGTATTATGCATTCATTTAAAAAATAGTTTGCCTGCCTTTTGGATCCATCTGCCGTTCTCAGGTTAGGTTCCAAAAGTATAAAATAAATAAATAAATAAATAGCATTGGCAGGAGCAGACAGATCTGCAGGCACATTGATACTTTCTCAGATTTCTACCAAGGGTAGATAGAGTTCCAACATAGAAGTGCTTGGCTACCTAGTAAGGCTGTGCAAATTTTCTCTGGCCATTTCTTTTCAACATTATTTCAACTCATTTTGAGCTCAAAAAAGCGAAATTGAAATGAAACAAAGGGCTTCAAAACAACCTCGAAATTAAATGAGGCCAGTTGAAATATTTCAAAAGTTTTGAAACGTTTTGAGTTTTGAAGCAGCGGCCAGGTTGTAGGAAGCAGGGGAGAACTAGGGCTGTGCTCCAAGCAACGCAGCAGCTCCATGTGGCTCAGCCTGGTGGGGAGTGCAGCCCTGGCTCTCCCCGCCTCCCTCCACCAGGCTCAGTTCCCAGAGCCAGTCCCAGGAGACAGCAGCAGCCTCCAGCCCACACCCCCAGGAGGGCTCTGCCAGACATCTCCGAGGGTGCAGGCCCCCAGTCTGCCTGTGATCATAAGAGGCTGCTCCTCCTCCAGTTTCATGCTTCCTCATTATAACCTCTGAGCGAAACTCGAAACAGCATTGAAACAGTGAAACTGTTTCCATGAAAAGAAATGGAACAGTGCTTTTGAAACTAAACTAAATTCGAAACGAGACACTGTTCTGTCAAAACAGAATTCGAAGTAAAACAGTGTTGTTTCACACAGCCCTACTGCTTAGCTCAAATTCAGTGGCCTCTACATATTGCCTGGAGCCATCCAGGTCACATGGCACAAGGTTAGCTTGAAATGCTCTGACAGTCTTCCTGCATATGTGTACTGCAGACTGTGCGGCATGTAGGACATGCTATTCCAGAGAGCTGAACTCTTCCTTTAGTCTTGTTCTTGATATTGCTTCCTGTCCAGCACAGCCTTTGTCAAGTCACTGAAACCAGTCTGGGGACAATCGGTTGTGATTTTAACCTCATAGTGGTAGTTTCCTGGGTTTCACTGTTCTTTGTGAGAGAAATAACTTGGTCTCAAATGACTTCAGATGTAGGTCATTAGCTATTCCCTTCACAGTAACTTTCAAGGCAATCTGAGCAAGCCAGAGGATTTCAAGTTCTTGGAGTGTTAGGGCTTCTCAGGCCTAATTACAGTGGAGCTGCCATCCAGTATAATCACCCCAAAAGGCTCAGTAAGTAAAGGATGCTGGTCTAGATAATACAGAACAGTGTATGATATGAACTTGTTTTAAGGTGAGACAGCAAAGTGCACTTACAGTCCCCAAAATCATCATGGATGGCCCCCCTACCTTGTCTATAAAGGGTCTCAGTATTCTTATTCTACCCTACAATTGCCAGCGACTGCCCATTGAAGAGGAGGAGGTTGTTCAGGTGCAAAGGTTGGCAAAACCTAGGAACTACATTAGTGAAAGAACCATCCTGACATTCAGGTCCTACTCCAAAATACTAGGGCAGGCATACTGAGGGGAAATAGATTTAAGATCAGTGAACCAGATTTCTGGAGCTGTCCCTGTTCTAAAGCTGAAGATAAGGTTGGCCTGTCTTCACAGTTAATGAAAGAGAGAGCTAGATCTTTCCTGTTTAACTCTGTATTTTGGTAGCAGCTTGGCTCTTCTTACAATGGACCAGTTTAGATCAAGTGACTTTTTATAAAAAGTGAGTTTCTAACAGAGGATTTGCTTAGATTTTGTAGAAAGGTCTTAACAGCCTGTGTGCCCTTCTATATTTTAAATCGTATCTCTGAAACGCTGCTATAATCCGCATATTTTCAGGAACAAATTGTAATTGCTCCACTGCAACAAAAAAAAGCAAAAACAAAAAACACTTGAAAATTTGTGAAGCAACTTTATTATTTAAACAGGCAAACAAATTAATAAATTCTTCTGCACTTATGAGATGCACGTTTTCAGGTCACTAGTCTAAACTGGACCAGAGAGAAAATGTAAGCCTGCACTTCCCACATCTCAGATGAGTGCATTAACTATTACCATGCTGTTTAAACAGTTGAGGGACTCTTTTTTTTCCCCTATAACAAAAATGTACAGGTGTTATTTTTTGAAGGGAAAGGAATTTATGAAGTATCTAACTTCCATGGGATAAGTGAAATTATTTTGTTTTGCATTTTTTCCCCTCACCATCCCACTGAAACTTCCTTTCCAAGTTTTCAGCCAGTTCCTTTAAATAGAAACTTATTGGTTGCAAGAAAAACTTTCCAGTTGTAAGTAGTTTTAATAGCTTCATTCTCTTCTCCCATTTCATAAGCTATTCTATTATCTTAATGGGAGCTGCCCTGAACCTTTCCTGGGAGGTGCTGGAAGGAGGTGCTCAGCCTTCATGGGCTGATACTCAGGGGCAGGTAGTTAGCAGTCAACTACTGCTGAGGCCTAGTAAATGACTGAGTCCCAAAGCAGGTTAAAGGCCAGGAGCAATAGTGCAAGGAAGAGAGGAGGCTGTAGTAAGGAGGGAGAAGCAGAAACCCAGGGTTGTTCTCTCAAGGCTGAAGACAGACAGCAAGTGCTGGATCCCCTTCTGTTTATCACTTGCTTGTTTCCTTTGCTGGGAGAGCAGGCTGCCCATGTAAACTGGCTGGAAACCCTGACCATAGAGGGATTGGCCTTGATAAAGAAGCTGCCCCAGTGGCCTGATTTCCAGGAGCCACATAAAGCGACTAAATAAAATTAAAAAATTGAGGCGGTGGGGGGGGAGAGCAGCTCTATGCATGGCTGGGTTTCCGACGCCCAAGCCCCTAGCAATGCCCTTGCCTCTAGTGTCACCTGGGACCAGTCCCGGAGGAAGCAGGGCCTGGCTCAATCCAGATGAAGTGCAGGCAGGCTGTGGATGGGGTGCCTTGGGCCCCGCTCCGGAGCCACTTCCCACCCAGTTCCCTTCTCTCTCCCCTTAGGTGAGGCCAGAGCAGACAATGAGGCTTCCCTAGTCAGGTCCTCAGCAACTCCCCCCCCTGGATTTCACTTAAGCAGGGCTTGCGGGAGCTGCTCCCCCCTGTCTCTTCCCTCTCAGCCCCCGCAGGACTCCCCAGCCCCGCCAGATCCCCAGCTCGGGAAGGCGCTGCAGTGCCGGGCGGGCGCAGGGGCCGGTCCCGCTATGAGTCCTGTGGCGGAGCCTCCCGCAGGCGCACGATGCCACACAGGGAAGGCGCCCGGGGCGTCCGACGGCAGCGCGGGCCGGTCTCAGGCAGCTCTGTCCTGCGCCGTCGCGAGTGCCGGGGTCCCCGAGGTGCCCTTTCAGCCCTGCGGCGCCGGCAGAGCGGGGGCGGCGCTGCCCCGGTCCGCTGCCGCTGCCTGGGCGCCGCCCTGCAGCAGCAGGTCGCTGAGCGCCGCGATGTAGATCTGCGCCATCCGCAGCGTCTCGGCCTTGGACAGCTTCTGCGGGCCGCG